GTGCCTTTGCGAATACGCTTTACAATAAAGTTTTGAAATGACGCAAACGTAAGGACAAGTGCGGATGGTAAAACGGCAAATTTATTGAAAACTACAAGGTATATATTGTTACAAAATTCGAGAGTATTCCAGTTTCGATAAGAAAAAAGAAGATCTAAGCATATGCGACAGAAGATGAAGTGGAGTCTCGCCCCGAACGCATTGATTGTCTGCTGTGGTCCGCGCGCTTGGCAGACCAAGACGCTAGGCCCGGTTAGAAATGGTGGCGTTAAAAACCACGTGAGAGAGCTCGGGAACGAAACAGAAAGAACGAGAAAGATTCGCGGGTGTTTTATAAAAAGGGCCGCTGGCAGTATTGGACAAATTCAAGGACCTATCAAGTTTTTCAAGGACCTAAGACGTTTTTCAAGCACTTTCAAGGACCTAAATTTAGCAAAAAAAAATTCAAGGACTCTCAAGGACCGTGGGAACCCTGCAAGTTTTCCGGACTCCTGGGAGCCCTGATTTGCTTCACTGACACCTCCTCAAATGCTGGAAAATTTTAAAAGTAACAAGTGTTTGGTGAGGTTTTGAAGCATTTTCCAGATATCATTTCTGCTCCATTCTACAGCTGATCATAGCTTCCTGTGAGAGAGGCTTCAACTGTCACAATAGACTGAAGTCAGCTTTCAGAAACTTTTTGAAGATTGAGACACTTCCTGATTTGCTCAGAATTTTTATAAATTGATAGCTTCCCCCAACAGAGCTTGAAGCAAGCTAAGCCTAAATTTGACAAATGGAATTTTAGTGTTGAGAGGAAATACAAATTGGAAGTGTTAAAAGTGTGGGAACATTTAATGTAAATTTTCTGACAGGTTTTGCATTTCAATGACTTTTAATAATATGTGGACAACACTGGAATCATGAAAAAAATTTTAAAACTAATGTCAGCATTTTTTAGCAATACTAGGTGGTTAAGTCCCCTCCCTGGTTGCTACAATTTATCAACTCTGATGTTGCACTATGAAGGTTGCCCTTTGAGCATCCGAAACAGCTGTCTGTATTTTATAAATATTTTTGTGCTCTTTAACATTGTTTGCCTTAGTTTTTGATGATTGGTACCCAATACTTGTTGCTTATTAATATAAAATAATTTTTTCTATGAAATTAGAAATTATTCACCTAAAATATATGTACAATAAAGAATTCTGTTTGTTTACGCTTGTAGCCCCACTTCTCAAGTCCAACATTAATTTTAATAATTTAAAAGCTTGAATAAACTTGATTTTTAAAAAGTATGAAGATCTCATATGATTCCATTAAGATCTATTAGTGAACATAAATAATATTGCTTATAATTGTTTTTTTTAAATAACATTTAAAATTACAGGTACATTGTTGTTTATCTTAAAATGTAGCATAATAAGGAAATATCATAGAATAACATTATGATAAAAAAATAAAAACTCTTATTTATGAACTCTTAAATATGGAAAACAATCAAAATCAAACACATAATAATAAAAGAGTAAAATAAGGAAAATAAATATTACTGGTAAACACCTATAAACTTGGGACATAAAAATATTTTACAGGAAACAATACTTATTACTTTTATAAATTTTATGCTCATGAAAACAAATAAACAAACAAAAAAAAGAAACGGAAATTAATGTGAAAACACTAGATTCTACTATGTGATTCTCAATCCAATAAAAAGGTATCCACAACAATGAAAAACAAAGAACTGTGTTACCATTATTAGGTTTTCATATATAATTAGAAATGTGTCTTTTCTTAGTTTTTAATTTTTTCTACATTATTTATGTGGTTTTGGTCAGCAAAAAGTTCTTCGTACTACATCGTTAAACATTTTGAAAATTGTTTATATATTTCATGGAAACAGCAGCAAACAAAAATTTTAGTCTGGCTAGAAATTTAAAACTGAAATTTCATGCCCTGCCCAAGTAGCAAAAATAAACATATAGAAACAACTTAAATATCACCACTATTAAAAATTAAGGCGTTTATTTTGCATTTTACGAAATATTAAAATCAAATAAAGTTGCCAGTTAGATTATTATTATAAATATACAACTGAATTCTGACCAATGTTAATCATAATAAACTAAATTCAACTTTTTAAGGGAGAATGAATCAAATTTGCTAACCGCAAATTATCTAATTACCAACATCAGCATTCAATAATAATTTAAAAGCAATAAAGCACCACAGACATAAATTATTTAATTAAAATTAGAAAACAAAGAAAAAAGTAAATAAGAACAATTTTTTTTTAAAAAAAATTCATAACTACTTATGGACAATACTCAACAGTTTCTATTCAGGCATAAGAGTGGGTACAAAACAAAAAATCTAAAAATACCTATCAACTCAAACCTTAAAAAGATAAATAAAAAGTATGAGACTTTATTTTGAGCAAAAGGCAGCAAAATAAGGGGGGGTTCTATAAGCTTACGTAAATAGTCCAATAAACTGTTACGCTTTTTCTATGAATAATGATTAAAGAGAATAAAATAACAATAAATCAAAACCAAAAAACAGTGCAGAAAATTAGGAAGTTAGAAATTCCACCAAAAATCAGAAGAATATCATGCCAGAACTCATTAATTAATATTTTATTTAAGCAGTCTATAAAGTTGTAAATAGAAAAAAAAGCAGGTAATTAAATAACAACTGATGCATCAAAAAAACAAATTTATAATACAAATTAAATACTGATACACATAAAATAAAATTGGAAATAGTTATACCTGTTTTTTGAGGGCCAATAACAAGAAACTTTGGTAATTGCTCACAGGATTTAGCAGATGACCATATGGCTTTATGGCGTTTGTCATTGCAAGGGTTCTGCAATTATTTAAACTCAATATTAGTAGAGTGTAGCACTATTTTCTAATAATAAAAATCAATATTTATTAGAGTGATTATGGAATAGAATTACAATGGGAGAATAAAATTTGGATCACTAAATGAGAAACCCTGTGATTTTTCTGAATTCTTAAATATTTGTGAAAATGAATATTTTGGAAACATGCTGCTTATCGCTCAGTATAGAGAAAATAAATTTCACAAAATCTATTCATTCACATTTAATCACGTAAACTATGTCTCAGACATAAAAATAAAATATTACATTTCAATAACATCTTAAATTTCAACAATTTCTGCAGAAATTTCAGAGTGACAAGGAAAAAGACAACCATTATTTGTTTCTTTTTTACTATTACAAACAGGCAAAACTGTTTTGTTAGTGTCTTAATAACACACAATTTGGTCCTTTTCCAAATTTTGGGAAAAAATAGGAAAACACTAGTACATTAAAACTTAATATCATTTGATTTTATTTCTGCAAAACATATAGCTAAAATTGTGCAATACACATTGCAAAAATACACATATATCAAGATCACTATTCACGCATTTCAAAATGTTACATTTAATGAGGGATTTTTTTAGTTTCAACCTTTGTGTTAAGTTTCTTAAAACAGTTTTCAAGCTGACATAAATTCTAGAAAAAAAAATTCCCCTTAATTTTATAAAATGTAACCAAGTATTCTTTTTAACACAACCTACAACACTTAAATGGCTATATAAGAAAATAAGACTACAAAAAACTTTTGAGTAAAGGCTACTAATTTGCAAATTGAAGTAAAATTAATGCGGCCAGAACTAGAATTTTGAACCAAACGCAAAATCCTTCATGCTGTTGTTTTTTCAAGTGACCCAATGATTTTAATGATCTGGACTTATGCAATGAAGCTATGTTTTTTAAACAGTTAGCTTTGAATGATTTGCAGAAGATATTAAAGTTGAAACTTATCGGAAAAAAATAACACTTTAAAATATAACTATGATAGGATTTAAATTGTAAACAAATAGAAAATAAAAGTATATAATTTTCTTTTTAACATAAAAAAATTCTTGAATATATTTTTTTGTTTTTGAGACATACTAACTAAAACAGTGTCCATGCTCAATGGCAAGAAAAAAATTTATTAAGCTCTCATAACATTTTATTGTAAATAACAATTAAGGAAATTTATTTAAAGTTAGATAATTTACAACTAATATTTTATTTTTGCTTATTTATCTATGGTATGCTAAAACTGGATTTAATTTATTCAAAGTTTTCTTTGCCTTTTTAAAGATGTGAAAATCCTGTAGACTTGATACAAAACTTGATGTTTTCTCAACTTTGACTATCAAAATAAAATATTAATTCTGAAATGCAAGTAGCAAACAGCTAAAAACTTTTTTTTTTAAGAAAGAACATTTTTAAAAAAGAAAGGTTTAAACAAAACAAGTAACAAAGTTCAATTTTTTTTTAAATTTAGTTTCAGCACTCCAAATAAAAGGATAATTAAACATGTGTTAATTATTACAAATAATTAACCAGGAAAATGAATTATAATATAAAAAACGGTTGAAGGGAAGAAATAAACAACTATACGCCTTTGTGACTAAAGAAGTTAATTTCCAACATTACTGCCATCATGAGGGAAATCGAATTAAATACAGTCGAATCCCACTGAAGTGAACTGTTCGAGGACCAGCAATAAGTCCACTATAAATGGAGGTTCACTATATCAAAATTCTTGGAAAATTTACGAGTATATTATAAGCATTATATAAAAATTTTATAAGCATATACATAATTTTATAAATTATTAATTGATTAATGAGATAATAAAAGAAAAATAGTTACTTAAATTTCATATCAACAATAAGTAAAAAAAATAGCATAAAACTGAAAATAGAAGGAATAAAGATAAAAGTTGCCGAAATTTCACATTCTTCAAGATTTGGAAGAGAAATAAATAGATTGAGAGGAAGATGGCTGTTAACAATTGTTTGTCACAGTTTAAAGGCGAAGAGCATGTAAGAATAAAATTTGACACAATGTAAAGAAATACTCTCATTTGCAATTACAACTTAGATTTAAAGTTAGAGAAATGAAAAATATCTTAAGTCCACTATAAACAAACTAACAATTTTTCAGCTGCTCCTTATGTGTATAAAATAACATTAAAGTAACGGGAGTTTAGAAGCCACTACTTAAAAAGCTTACAACCACCAAATGTTCACTATATCCCAAGTTTATTATAGTTGGGTTCAACTGTATAACTAAGAATAAATGCATAACTGAAATGGATACATAGATTTTAATTTGCACTCTTATAATGTAAACATAAAATGAATATACAAAATATTAACTCAAATTAATGCAATTTTTTTTCAATTCTAATTTAAGAAAAACAAACAGAAAGATTATTTTAGAACAAAGAATAGAAAAATCAGAATGAATTCTATAAAAAAAAGAATTTATTACTACCGTACTTCTTCATTTATAAGCATTAATTATAACTATAAATATTATTAGAACTATATAATTACCATCCACAGAGGATCTGATTCTTCAGGATAAGTTTGGAAATATTTGTCAGCTAATTGTAGAGGTGGTAGGGTTACTAGTTGAAGGTTAGTCCAGCATTGAACAAACTTTATAACAGATTCAAATGTATACAGAGCAAGACGATCATTACCATAGTTTGAAAGATGGGTCATAAATATATTGACCTGGAATCAAAAAATTTTTTAGAATAATTTGTCTCTCTCGAAGTCACATTTGAAAAATTAAAATCATCAATAAAGAAATAATTTATAATAAATAAAAATAAGAAATGCATTTCGAATTACAAACAAGAAAGATTTATAAGAGGAAAGAATTTGTGTTTAATTATAATTAACGGGAACTTATTTTGTACTAATTTTAATTTATATGTAATTGACAGAATGAAGGATTTAAAATACTGAAATACATTAGATATTTAATATCAAACATATACTTTTTTTTAAAATAAAACATGTATTTTAAATGACAATTAGAAATTAAGTACACTAAAGACACAATTGACACATAAAAAAACACACCAGTAACACCATCAAACCTAATCATTCAACAGTAAATTTATGACAAAATTAGACTTTTAATTATAAAATAATACCAGTCAAATATTTCTGTTATAAATATCTTTAGAAAGTTTATGTTAACTTAAATGTAAGATTATGCTAGATTTTTTATGAAAAGTAAAATTTAGAATACTAACACTTACTTTTAAAAGGTATAGATTGCAATACTTTCAAAATAACAATATTTCAACAACAACAACAACAAAATGTATCAACTCGGATTATTTTTCACCCAGGGAAAAAAAATCAAACATATTTAAATGTATTCTACTTAACTTCTATACAATATACATTATCAAAGTATTATATGCATTTTATATTAAAAATATGCATGCATCTGTATAACGTTTTCTTATTTACCGTTTTACAAATTAATTAGAAACTGCTTACCCAATTTAGAGTTTCAACATTATTTGTGCTAGTTATTTAACAGTGTAAGTCACTTGTTTACTATGTTAAACTTAACTCAAAATCAGATAAATTTGTGAATATTTCATTACCTTTTATGAAAGTTTAAGATGATTTAACAGGGGTCTGTCGAGGCTAAATTTACTACCATTTAACAGTACCTTCACAAATTCAAATTTAGGAAAAACGGCAGTTTCACAAAATACCTTTTCTTAACATTTTATTTTTGTATTCCGTAAGAAACAATAAATCCATACTTTTGTGTTGATTTTTTAATATAATTTTTAATTTTACAAATTATGTCTAATTTTTCACAAATTATGTCTAAATTTTCACAAAATAGGTACCTTTCAGAAAAACCTAGACAGACCCCTGTTTAAGAAAATCAATAAGTTGTCTTGTTATGAAATAGAACCAAAAGGTGCAAATAGTGTAAAAAAATGCAATTTTTAACAAGAGTTTAAACATTCATTATAATCATATAATAAAATTAACTTAGTAATATTTTGATACAAGGTAATCTTTTATATATTATTATAATTCATGAAAATTATAATTATTATTGAAGTAGTAATCATAACAAATTTCAGATGTTATTTTAGAAAGCTTTCTTTTTATATATATATAAGAGTAAACAAATGGAATATTTGCATACAGTTAAATAAGAGCAATGTTTTTTTTCATTTCCTTATAATCCAAAAACTTATTAATATTGTTTAACACATAATTTTTAAATATTTTATTAATAAAAAGTAAAATTAACAACTTACAGGATTGTAAACAAAGAGATGGAAGAGTTCTCCTCCTTTAATACTGAGTTCAAGTTTTTCAGGACCACCTGGGTATTTATCCAGAAATATTGTATGAGTGTAAAGACCACATGTTTGTCTTGGAAGTACCTACACACAGAAATTAATTTACAAAATTAATCCACACAAAAATTAATTTAGAAAATTAATCTACACACAAAAATTAATTTACAAAATAACACAAAAACAAATTAATTGTAAAGGGCAACAATAGGTAATACATTTCAGAAATAGTGCTAAATAAATGTGAAAGAAAATGGAAAAGAAAAATATAACCAAACTATAAATCAACAAATTAAAACATACAGAAAAATAAATTCAAAAAAGTTTGTGATACAAAATTTCGATTCAATCTAGTGTGAAACTCAGTAGAAAGGAACAAATATAAACACATAAACAGATTTTCAAATTCTATTGTCATGTGATTATACAATAAACGAAACTTTCTTTTTTTCGTTTCTACAGTAAGTTAAACCAACAGACACACTTGTTTTATATACATAACAGCTCCACTTAATAATTACTTTAGTCATCAAAATATTATCTTATTCATTCTCTCTTTATGACATATTTCTAAAAATTACTAAATGCAATTAACGCAACATTGTAAAATAAGGTTACATGCAGTGGCAATAACTACATATGCACTGAAAATTAAGTATTATGGATTTAAAGTTTTAACAATGAAAATGAATGACACAAATTACAGTAACACCAGATTAAGCGAAAAATTCTGTATTATCAAACATACTATTTACTGTAAGAATAAAAATTGTCACGTGTTGCACATACAAATTATAAAAATCTTTTTTTTTCAAATATACATACATACTATTCTATTCAGCACTATTTTATTTACACATAGCACTTGTAGTGCAACTTTGAGGAGAACTCCTCCAGACTAGAAGTCGGGAGCTATCTGCTGCTATGGCAACAAGCGAGAGAATATTTCTAATGGGGGTGCAATAGAGGAATGAAGGTGTCGATTGGTTTACTCACGTCGACCTATGCCAAGATCAAGACAAAACTATTCACCCCTATTCTAAGTGACTTTTCCTCGTAACTATGGTACCCGCCACAACGCAAGACGGGTGTCTGGATGAGTTCTCCTGAAAGCCGCACTTTAGTTTCAATTCTGTTTCTATTTTATTTAGCACTCTTTAAAATATAAACATAAATTGGAATTTGAATTTTAGTTACCAATTTTTATTTTTTCCTATTATTCCTATTATTATTTCCTATTATTATTTTCCTATTTTTTTTATTAGATATTAGGAAAAATTAAAAAAAAAAATACTGCCCAAATAATCTATTGTATCATTACTGCATTCAGAATAGGGATTACCATTATATTTCGATGGATAAAGCCTCTTCTCAACCTAGCTGGTCTGAGATGAGGATACTCTTCAGTGCTCGTAACTCTAACATTCCAAACTCTCTTCCATGCTTCATACAATGGCTCATGAACAGGATAAACTCCTGAATGATGTGGGGCAACAGAATAACCTGAATCATGTGGAATGCCATGCTTCTAAAATATAAAAATTACATAACATGAAATGTAACTTTACTATTTTTAAAAAAGAAACAATAAAATAAACTGCTTCATGTAGTAATAAAAAAACACTTCAATCAACGCATGCAAAACATAATAAAAAAATTTAAATGCATAATACTAACAACAATAATGCATAAAGATTATGATGAGCTTTATAATTTTTAGTTTTTAAAAAGTGTAGTTCTTCTTAAAATAAATGAATTAGCAAAATTTATTAACTGCTGATAAATGCCACAAATACAAACTTTTCTGCTTATCTAGTAGTCGGAAATTTCAACTCGAATGAATCATAGAAACAAAATCATTGTCAAATAAAATTACAATAAAATAAGTATCAATGTACATTTCCTGAAATATTTTTATATTTAATCTAAATAAATGTATTGCAAATTTAAAAATAAAAAAGAATATTAACTGTCAGCCACAAATTTAAATATTTTAAAAATAAGTAATTTATTAAATACATTTTACTTTTCTAGGATGTTGCAAAATTATTAACAATACGATATTATACTTTAATAACAATGATAATCAATAATAATTGTAATTGTGACAATTTAAAGAAATAGTTTTCTGGAATAATTGCTACAAGGCCCAAAATTTCAACAGATGTGATCGAATATTTAGTGTTAGTGAGTAAGTTACAGAATGTGACATGTGCGGCAACTGACAGGTAGTATTTCTGATATTTTTTATTTTAATGATATGTGGATGATATTGAAAACATTGAGATCTTATGGGAACCTAATTTTAAGTTAATATTAATTTGCAATAAATGTTGTTTTCATTTGTCAGTTTCTTCATAAATTCTTCCAATGTATCGATCACCAAAAAACTCTTGAAAGTAATCTGGTTATTTTTATAAAAATTCCTATTTATTGTGAAAATAGAGGAAAAATTTTAAGATTGATTGCACATTTAGAACTGAAATTTCAAGATTTGTGCTACTAGCTTCTGATGATACTCCACTATTTGAAAAATCATAAGACCATCTCTTCTTCATGAGTGAGTTGGACAATTTTACAAATTATTAAGTACAGTCATTTACTATTTTTAATATTTGCAACAGAAATACTCATTTCATTTCCCAAAAATTGAGAAAAGATAAAATCAGACTCTAAAGTCTTTGTACATGAACATTATTGGATGACTGAATAAATAGGAGTAAAAGATAATTGAAGATCACACAAACTCTTAGATAATATTCATATTTCCTCATTTGGATATTCAGCCTCCTTCAAAAATATATATTCAAAAATTAAAAAATATATTTAAAAAATAATAAAATTTACTAATTTTAAAATGGACCTCAATTCTAATGCAATGCTAAGTAATGTTGGGTATAACGGAAAAGAAAATATTTTTTAATAGATACCACCCTTGATGCTTTCAGACGGCATTTTTAATATCAAAGCTTCGTTTTCTTAATTTTATTTAATCAAACACATTTCACAATACACACAATTAATTACAATTTAATCAGAACAGTTAGTTAGCAGCTATAAAAGAGAATTTTGTTGATGAAACAAGATATCAGATCCCTAGTTTATTAATAACTAAAATTTCAAGTGAAGCCACCAAAAATAAACAAGCCTTTATAAAAATTAAAATAAACACTTGGAAAATAGTTAAATTTAAATCAAAAGGAATAGTCTTTTGTTTTATAAATTATGCAAGAATTAATTATTCTTAGAAGAAAAAGTGATCTAACTGAGGCATTGTTAAAAAAAATCTATAAAAGTGTTTCACTGCACTAACTTTGGCAAACTCTCTGTTCAACTTCATTTCCATCTCAAGAGCTGTTATATTTTCAAATAAATGTGGCTGGCTATGACTCCACATGTGACAGAACCACCAAAATTCATCTGCGTGCTCTGAAATACAAAGTGAATACAACACATGTCAATAAGCACTAAAATTATGATCAAAATAAAAGATATTAGTATTAAGAGTTATACAAAATTGCTCAAAAATGTTGTGACAAATTTTAAGGGAAGGTAGGCATATTATTAAGATTACGTTTTGCACTGTAACACATTACTGGAAATTGTATCAATCAATCATTGTATGCTGCTAATCAAATCATTGTATGCTGCTAAGAGGTACACTGCTTATAGCCCCCATGATTTATCAATTCTTGATTTCTTACCTTGGGGAACTTCTAATAAGCGTATCGCAAGCATATGAAATCGCAATCACTATTGTGCAGTAATTTTTATATACTGCTACTAAAATCAAATAAATGGAAGTATTGATAATGGAACAACGTTCTGTTTGTGTTAATCACACAACTAAGGTGCCAACTCTGAGTATATGTTGTACCATTATAACCTGTATTCTGCATTCATCTAGTATGCCACTTGTACTCATGTTATTCAACATAGGTTTTCAACAAATTACTACCTTGAGTCCTTTCAGATTACCATTTTCCCTTGCAGATGCTTCTAGACATGGGTTGCTATGCAATTTTGAATCTTTGTCATAATATATGCATTTCTTCCCTTAAAAGTTTGTTGCAGCAATTCTGAGAAATCCTGTATATACTGCTTAGTAAAGGATAAATCACAACAAACCTATATTGTTCTAGCAAGTCTTTTCTAAACTATATGGAAATAAAAATTGATTTTAAAAAAATTGTCTCTGAACAAGTTTTTGTGCCACAATGTACTCTTTCACCATGACAGAGAAGGTTTACCAAGTGGCACCAAAACACATCTAGGTTAGTTGGTTGGATCTAATGCCACTTGCCACACGGGCAAGCCTGCTTGATGAAGACGAGCAAATTTAAGGCAGAGTGTGCGATTCTTGTTTTTCAGTGACGTTATCTATGGCCAAGAATTAGACTTCTGCCACACCACACGTCACACATGTTTATAAGGCGGACCCAGTCATACATCCATTCATCCACAGATCGTAATTTTGACCTGAGAGAACGATCAATCCCCAATCCAGTACCCCCAGAGATATTGCTTTGTTACGGGAACATGGAGGACTCTGTGACTCCACAAAATTTTAACGTGCATCAGTCTCCAACTACACAGGGAGACTTCGGCCGGCGGGGTTCAAACCCACAAACTCTTGGACATGGGCCCAGCGCCCTACCGACCAGACTATCCCGGCCAAAAAATAAAATAAACATCTAGGTTTCAATACATTAATTACGAATTAACTTTTTTATTTTATAACAATCATTACAATCAAGTAACTCTTTTAATTATCAATAAGGAAAATACACTGTATTTTTATTTTAAGATATTTCAATTATTTAGAGAACACACTGTATTTTAAGATTAAATATTTAAAAAAAATAATAAAAATGCAAACTGAAGAATTAGTCAATTGAACAACTACAAAATATTCTGTTCAAAAGCAATAGTTCAAATAATAAAGCAAGACTAATAATAACAAAAAATAAATTGAATTTGGTATTGATACTCATCACTTGTTTACTGATTTAAAGTCAGCATTCAATACTGCGAATAAGAAGGAACTAATGGATGCAATGTATGAATTTAAAATTCTGGACAAACTGATTAGATTTGTTATATGCACAATGATTGCGCAGAATCAAATTTGTGGAAGCTCACTCTAAAAGTGTTAATAACATTCAACAATAATGTTATGAGTTCAACGGGTGACTATTTCATGTCTTCTCTTCAATAATGCACTGGAAAAGGTTATTTGAGATGCATCATATTGACACTTGCGAAAACATCTTTTACTTATAAATTCAGCTCTTGGCATGGATAATGATATTAATAATGTTGCTAGGAGTGTACCAGCACTTGCCTTCTCAATAGAGATGGCTTCAAATTGTATAAGACTGACAGTAAATGACTCCAAAACAAAGTATATGCCAGCACAGAAAACTCGTTACAGTGCTACATTCAGCTATCTAAAAATTGGCTATCATGAGTTTGAAAATGTGCCTCGATTTAATTACCATGGATGTTTAGTTAACACAAAAAACATTGACTATGAAATCCAAAATCGTACCTCAATAGTATACATTAAAAGTTAGAACTGGACTGCTTGCGTTTATAAAATGGATAAAAAGAGATCTAGTAAAGAAAACTTTTGTGTCAAAGCCTATTATTAGTCAAAAAAGGAAAAAATCAAAACAATGATGGCTTGGTTTTGGGGAAGCTGACAAAGTGATTGGGATAAAGGATTGGCAGTCAAGAACAAAAAAAAAAAAGAAGATAGTCCTGAAGGAATCTTCAGCAGAAGGCCCCGGGCTGTTGTGCCAAATATGATGAATAAATGTTGAAAATTACCTATTAACATGTCATCTCCAGTGTTCTCTTCGGATGTACCTTTATGATAAAATTTTCCAGAAAACCCTAGGTTGAATCGAAAACCTGGTACAATTCTCTTTATTCTAGACTGAGCATTCAGAAGAGCCTGAAAAAAATTTCTACAACTTATTTTTCCCAGAAAAAAGATACAAATATATAAAATTAAAATTACATTCACTACTCTATGATACAACAGTAAAATTATTAAAAAACGATTGGAAATCAGATCAGAGAATTATAATCAGATAATATCTTGTCTTAGGACCATGTATAAGTAAGTGCTCTCATGCGAAGAGTTAAGTAAAGGGAAAGAGTAGTAGTTATGAATAGACAAAAGAAGACCAATAGAAACAAACAATTGATTCTGTTTCAAGAAATAATGTGTTTACAATGCTAATAGAACATCAAAAAAACTATCTTGCATTAGTTATATAATTTGAAATTTTTTCAATAACAATTTAACAACATAATATTTAAATAATGCTTCAGTAATTTTAAATAATCATCAACTGGACACTTGGTTAAGCAAATGTGTATAAAAAATATTCTGTGAGCAGTTCCTTTTCACAGAGTTGAGAAAATTCTGTAAAAATTTCTAATAATAAACCGAATAAGTCAATAGGAAAAAGTTATTAATATCTCCATTATTAATCATTCTCGTGTTATAAATTAAATCGGAATTACTTGGAAGGATAAAGAAATAATTAGCAAAAATGCATAAATATGCCATAATATTGCTTTTCTTCTCCTTATTGATAATTAGTTAAATTGAAGTTAAAGAACATTAACAAACATTCTGCATTTTTTAAGATAAAATTATTTGTCATTTCCTTTATTGGACATGCAATAAAGAATTTTTTTTATATTGATTATTTTTTATATAGCTATATTTACATATTGTTACAAAATTTAATTTTGTTGCAGTAACATTCATTAACCATGAAATTTTTTATTTTCAATTTAAAAAACACAAAAAGAATACAAAATTCTTATTATGTCCTTAAATGGCCATTAATTTTTCCTATTATCCCGAATGATATAAGATATACCATACAAGCTGATCAAAACACTATGTAGGTAAACATCATAGTATAGTAAAAAAATTATATACATGTTTTAACATACATAGCATAACTAATGTACATGATGTTAAATTAATTACATTTTACAGACATATTTACAATAAATTTTAAAAATAAAATTTTTTAATAAAAAAACAGAATAAAGCTTGTTCTTTTCATGTGTTTGAGTCAATCTACATTTCAAAATAACAGAACACTCTTCATATTTGTTTTTAAAAAAGTGAATATTTTTCAGATGCATATGTTTTCGCACTTTAATGGTTCTTTAACTTTCAAACATTCCTTATTTCATATTACAAAACAAATGTAGTTAATTCACACATAAAATATAATTTTAATAAAAAAAACATACATTAAGTGAACAAAACTTTACAAAATTTACAATTTAAACAATTTTCATTTCCAATCATTATCCTAAGAGAAAAGGAGGAAATAATTTAAATTCAAAATCATAACTTCCATTGAAGTATAAAATTGATTTATATAAAATTTAAAAAATAAGAATTTTTTTATGAAAAATATTTCTAAAAATATTTAAAACCACAGCTTTAAACTAAAAGTAGTCCATTTGCACTGGTTGCTAAAATCCTAGAACAAAATGAAATTAATTGTCTTCTGGATCAGAAAACAAATACCAAGAATGAAGTATAAAAAAAGAGGATATACTGATTTGATTTTTTCGTGAAGGCGATTTAAATCTCTCTTTCTGTCATGAAATAGCAACATAGTTGCTAAAAAATTTTTTGATTTTTTTAATTTAATTTTACTTTAATAACTTTTCCTTTTACTTAAAATATTTAATACAATGATCTAAATATGGTAAATATGTACATTTAAGCTTTTAAGAAAACAAAACAATGATACATAGTTCATTATAAGCTTCAATCGCAATTATTATTAGTTTACAAAAATTTAAACACAAATGAAGGCTAGAAAAATCTCTTTTTTTTCCTTAAACTAGACATATTATAAGGATCATTGGAATTTCTTCCTCCCGAATTACTTCAATAATAACAATAAAAATTACACTATAAACAAATCATGCTTTTGTTTTTAAAAAGCAATCTTTGAAAGCAAGATCTTTAGATCCACTTACAATGACATCAGCAGGTTTCATTCTTGTAGCTTTTTCACCCACAAAAATGTCATCAATATCAATAAGAATGTATCTCTGAAGAGGAAGACTTAATTTTCCGTGTGACAGAAATGAAATTGCATCTAGAAATAATAATCTGTGAATCCAAAGTTGAAAACCATTCCCAAATAAAACTCTAGATATACCATCGAAAGAACCATGATCCTGTTAAAGACAAAAACAAAAAAAAATCTCAGAAAAAGTTATGAAATTGTACATATTATAATACATATTTTTTTGCAAAAGAGAGCTCATTTTTAACAAATTCTTATGAATATTAATTCATGTATTTATTCTCAATCACCACAAAAAAATATACATATATACATACAAAAAGAATATAAACAAATAAATACAAAAAAGCAGATTTGTGGATTGCTTTTTGGGCAAATTTTTTTCTGATAGTTGAAAAAATTTTAATGCATAATTCTTAGTTTAGTAAATTAAAATTAGGTTATTTTCACCATCACAATATAAAAATAATTTTTAAGTTCATATTAATGTTACTTTGCTCGGTGAACCCTTTAAGAGCATTGGCGAAATGAAGGAAATTGCATAACTTTCAGTTTTTGTTTTCTGACTATTTTTATAAATCTTTTGTTGAAAGTGGAGTAGTTGGTATTTTATTAAATTTGGTTTTTAAGAGAACAGAAAGTTTAAAAGTTTGAGAGCAACTGATATAAAAGTTTGTGACGTGTGGTGCATAGGGGAGAATTAAAACAACGGCTAGCTAACTTTTATTTTATTTTAAACATTACTATAGTTAGCACTCAACACATTCACAAACAAAACATATAAAACATATATGAAGAAGAAAAACATAAGGAGCACTGCATGGCAGGCTTTCTACCGTTCGTTCGCTACCACTCACTCTCTCTCTGAGTTTTTATCTAGTTTCTTGCTAGGGGGCGTTACTAGTTCCAGTTTCTCCACAAGTTTCATTATTTAGTAACATTAAACTTTATTGCCAGGAAATGGCAAAAAAATATGGCCGGTTTTAATGGGTGTTTATAAATAATTACAATTTTAATAATTTACTTGCAATTGTATTTACGAATAGTTGCTTTGTAAATATTTTTATATTAAACCTAAATTTATACCAAGAAAAAATAAATAACAGGCTTAACTCAGAATTATGATTTTGAAGGCAAACCTAAAATTCATGACTGTAAAAATCATGTTTCATCGACAAAAAGAAAAAGAAAAAAAATCGAAACATATATATATATATATATATATATATACACTACCCTACATACTGGAAGAGACACTTTCAGTTGTTAGATACTTTTCGAATTTCTTAAATACATAGAGGATTATTTCGTAAATTTATAAGCATTTAGTTATTGCGATTATTTATACTTAGCATTTGCTATAGGTTTTAAGCTTTCATTGGTTTGAGAGACCGACAATAAATTACAAAAGAAAACAAGTATTTTTTAACATCCTATACTAGCAAATCAAGAAATAAGCTTGTAACTTGCATCGCTTACTTTGGTTGTTATTTGCAAATACCGCATAAAATTTAGTTAATCTAACTAAAATATTTATGCAGACATAAACATTTTTATTAAAAAGAAAAATTATTTTTTTTTGTCTTATCTGTATCTTTAAAATATCTTTATTTAAGTATCTTTATCTTTAAGTTGCTGTATCTTTAAAAATATTCCAATAAAATTTTTTTAAAAATTTGGAGCAATTTAAATTTTTTTTAAAAAAAGTATGCAAAATAGGAGTATTTAAATTAGTTTTTTTGTACTGTGCATGTGAGGAAAAATTTGATTTAAAAATATTAAAAACTTATAAAGTTTCAAGCAGTTTTGTACTTTTCAAAAGAAAGCTCAAAATAATTAGGTTTTTCACAAATTTTATTATGTAGTATTGCAAATTACACTACCCTGTGACTGGGCAGCAAGAACAAGATTAAATATTTGGAAAACCCCTTATCCCTTTAAACTTTCGTTTAAAAAATACAAAAAATACATACAAAATTGCTTGAAACTTTATGGAAATTTGATCCCATCCTGTATTTACAGAAATATATTTCCTTACTTACTACTAAAAATAAAATGCAACAAAAATATTAAGAATAAGATACTTGCATGCACTATTGTTGTTAGCAAGGGATCAATTCCTTGAGAAACAAACGATGACTGATAAGTTTGTGAACGTGCTGATGCAAGAGCTTCATAGGTGGAGTGGTTTGGTTGGAAGACTGTCCAATCAGAGCCTGGAATGTTACCATAGAAGACCTCTCCAGCACGTGTCAATCTTAAAACGGTTGAATCTCCATTCAGATGATAATCTCTTAGAGCCATATTTGTATGAACGTATAAAGGAAAGCCTGAAATATATGAAATATAAAGTAATTACATTTTATACAGGGTTTTTAACCGGTACACTTGTGCATACAAAACAAAGTTATTATTAAGTATCAATAAAATTTAAAACAAAAATGTAATAAAATTAAATTATTAAAAACAGAAATACCTTTGATGTTTAAACAATAGACTTTATTAAAAATACTGTGTATTTTTGAGTTCTTATAATGTTGCAAGTTTAATTGTGAGCTATTCTAAGTGAGGTGATAATTTAAAGTCTGGTCCGAAATGAAAGTCATACAAGGGTCGTCAAAAAGAATGAAAAAAAAAAACTGAAATTATAATTTTGCTTAATCAAGTAAGTAAAATAGTAGCACATCTGGAGTGAACTTTAACCCTCTGACTGCTCGATTTGTGGACCAAAATAGCTTAAAATATTTTTTGTTGCATATTTTAAATATATATATTGGAGAATTGAAATATGTATTTTTTCTTTCTATAAAAGATTTTTTATACCTATACATTTTTATCATGAGAAACTAAGCTGTCAGAAAAACCAATTTCAGAGATTTTATCACAAAAAAAAATTTTTTTTTAATAAATTTCAATTGAATTACATTAAATTTCTATTTATTACACGATATTAAAATATGTATAATGTGTATATATGAAAAATATGTATAGAAAATAGTTAGAAATTATCAAAGAATTAAGAAATTATCACTGTCAAAACTATAATCACTTTCAGAATCTGATAAATCATCGAGAATATATATATTCTGTCTATCACTGAACGTTTTGTTTCTCTAGCAGTCATTTCTGATTAGAAAAAGTTGGCAAACATAGTGAAGTTAGAGCAATAAATACCAAGGCTGCAATTTAGTCGACAACTAAGGACATTTGTTGGTCTAAACCTTAATTAAACGTCTAATACTGTACATAATTTATTTCACAGGTTGAAAGGTGAAAAGGCAGGATGCGCTCCTCAACAAAAGAAGAAAAACACATGCTTGCGAAAATCGTGGGATGAGCAGCCAGAGGATTAATATTTATTAATGGGTGAACCAACTCATATGGTTTTTTACTCTCATACTAAAACTTAACTCTTTTCAATCTAATAAAAGGCAAGAGAGTAAAAATATAACAAAAAGTCGGAAAATACCTATCAACTCAAATCATGAAAACATATGTAAAAAAGCATGCAAAACTATTTTGCACAAAAAAAAAAACATTACTTATTTAAAGTTTTTATTATAATTACATGCATACGTTGGCCATCCAACAAACTATCAAGTTTTATACATAATAATGATTTGAGAGAAAAAAATAATAAATTAAAACAAAATGTAGAAATATTAATAAAAAAATCGACATTAAACATAGCATTTTCTTTTTCTCTCTGGAAAATTTTATTGCAATTTTTAATATTTTATACAAATTTTTTCCTACAGTTTAGAAAGCAGAAAATTCCATCAAGACACAGAAGAATCTCATGTCTGTAATAAGCTGTAAACATTTAGTGGATGACGGTCTCTTTCAAGGGGGATTATTTCAGAATTTTTGTGAAATGTCCTTTTTAATGAAATCGTTTAAATACTACTTAATATCCCGAAAATAATGCCACATTCACTGCGAAAAACAGCATAAACTATGTTTTTCAAGGAGCTTTAGTTTCAAAACTATGACATCATTGACTGTTCTGCAAAAGAAAGGTTTTGTGAAAGGTCATTAATGGATAAATTTCTCATGTGGTTTAAATACCAGGAGCTGCTGGGTAGCATAAGTAACTAAATAAAAACAACAACAAAATAGAGACCATCTGTGCTACCTAATACAAAAAAGGTATAGAAACTTTTACAAATATAAAAAGTTTGTTTGATTACATACTAGTAAGCAAAAAAATTTGCTTTTGAACTTACAATTCATTTTGCTAACAATAAGTTTTAATAATATTAAAATGGACATCTGCAATTAGAGCTAAGAATAAATAAACAAGTGGGCGACCTTTGTGCTAAAATACAAACTAAGGTAAACAACGTTAAAGAGCACAAAAAATATTATTAAATGCAGACAGCTGTTTCGGATGCTCAAGGGGCAACCTTCATCAGTACAACAGAAAGAAATGAGAATCTCATGAGAAAGAAAGAATCAATGAGAAAGAAAGAATCTCATTTCTTTCTGTTGCACTGATGAAGGTTGCCCTTAGAGCATCCGAAACAGCTGTCTGCATTTATTAATATTTTTTGTGCTCTTTAACGTTGTTTACCTTAGTTAGTAGAGCTAAGAATGCTGATTAGTTAGTCAAACTAACTAATTTGTAAACTAACTTAGTTTACAAATTGTAGACTTTTAAGTATTTATTGAAATGTATGGATTTTTAACTGTAAATCTATAATATATCACAACTAATTAGTTTTGATTGAATTTTAAACTTTAAGAACACAAGATAATTAAATACTGGCAGACAAACCTTTTAATTGAGCACCAACATAAGTCTCTTCCTGAGCCTTCATGAAACCAATAATCCCAACATTATATTCTCGGCAATATTTGTCAAGTAGTTCTCTGTTCCATTTATTCATGTGCAAATACTTTTCAAAATTTTCAAAAACTATAACAGCAAACTTCCCTTTATCTAAATTGGTGAGAAGAGGCAAGCTTTTTCCAGCTATTTCCAACTTAAATCTAATAAAAAAAATAAATAGATATTTTAATTTTAAAAATCAGATACACATAAACTAACAATTTATCAAAAGAAAAGGACTAAATAAAAATATTAAGTTTTCTAGAGAAATATTTGATTTTAGAAACATTTCTAAAAATAACCGGGCAATTTGAAAAATCAATGTCAGAAATTTAAAGGAGATAGAAATAAAAAGTTTACAGCATTGTATGTAGGAAACCAGATTATTATTCACACTAAATCTCAAAATTAGTAACATAGTTCATCAATAGATGGCGCTGTTAACTAGGAAAAACTAACCATGTTTTCAAAATTAAATTAATTCGCAGCTACAATGTGAAAGAATCTGACACTCAGCAAAAAACACAGTTTCATAGCTGTTTTTTTCCAAATCATCAGTGCCATCTGCTGATTAACTTTGTTACTAATTATGAAACTTGGTGAGAATAAATTCTCTGGGTTTTTGAACAAAATACACCAAACAGAATCTTTTTATCTTTAACTATTTTTCACAAAATTGATATTTCAAATTGTCAGTCATTTTTTAGACAATAAGCAAAACAGTGTTCTTGCTCCGTTGAATTTTTATTGCAATAATGCAATTATTACAATCAAATTAGGTTTTTCCAAACTAAAGTAAATAAACAGTCAACATATTTATGAAAAAAAATTGTCATTTTGAAAAATATCACCTTACTTACAAGGGAATAAATATGCTGCAAAGATTAGGGAAAAAATTGTCAAAGAATTCACTCTTGAGAGTTAAACTTTTACCAAACTGTTCATAGATGTATAACAATAAAGTTTGATAAAATCTTGTTTTTCCTCATTAATACCAATTTTTTTTTTTTTTTTTCCCCTGATGTTTGCTTAGTTTGTCAGAAGAGAAATTTTCTCTTTAACTCAGATATAGGGAAAATAAGTGTTTACATTATGGAATTAACATATCACTAAATAAAATTTTAAAACATTATATAATGAATAGTGAAGCGAAGCCATAAAATAATTTAACATTCATATGATGCGTTTTCCAATAATCCTCTTTTTTTTGTTGTTAAAAGTAGAAATTGACCCAACAAATGTGACTACTGTTTATTTATTATTATTAATATTTTTGTTATACAACGGATTTTAAAGACTTCTTAGAATACAAAAATGGGTTAGGTTAGATAATTATAATTTTACAAAACTTTTCTGGGTACAAAAAAAATAAATAATAATAAAAAAAAACGAAGATAATTGCATTATGAAATAGGTCTATTTATACCTCAATTTAAAATTTCTTTGACATTGAAATTAACGTTTTTCTAACTTTTTCCTGAAACTAGAAACTTTCTGACTTTCTCCAATTTTCCATTCACTGACGTTTCAAGGTTATATTCTATCAGTTTATGCATAAAGATTATTTTAAAATTTCATCTTTGATCAATAGAAGAAATTGTTTGGAAACATGAATCCAATCAATTAGTTAATTGTTACAGAATCAGATTAATGAAAATGAAAATTAGATAAATGCAAATTTACTATTTTTAACCTCATCTTTCTTTCTTTTTAAATAATCTACTCTTAAACTGTTTAAAGAAGTATTTTGAACAGATATAAATAGGTTAAAGCTATCCAATCCTGCAAGAAACTTAAATTTTACAAATTATTTTTTTATGAAAATATATACAAATTAATTTTTGTAGTAAAACTAATGAAACCTACTTGATTCTAGAAGCTTCTAAAATTTCTGCTATCTGTCTTCCCAAATGGGAATATTGAGTCTCCACAAACACAAGCACTTTGGCATCAAGACGTAGCCTAGCACTGGACACATGGGCATTGGTCGGAGGAAATCCATAGCCTTGCCTTGAATTATCAATTGATCGGTCGAATGAATTTTTGCAGCGAAAAGTTAATTCCTTGGGGGCCTTTATCATGCTAAAAGAGGAAAGTAAAAAACATTAAAATATTATTCAGTTCAATTAGCTAATTAAAAATTTGATAATTATGTTTTTTAAAAAAAAACCTACTAATAAACTTAATGAAGAACAGAAATTATATCAAGCATCAAATCATTAAAAAAAATATTCATGCCATGCCTACATAATATTTTAAATGTGAGACACCAATATTTTAGAGATGTACTGATACTTTTATTTATACACTCATATCAACAAAAGTTAATATATTTAGTGGAGTTTAAATCTAGTATTTAGCAATCACACTAGTAGATAAGAATGTATGAAAATTCAAGTCATGTTTTTTTTTAATTAAATGTACAAAAAACATACTTCATGTACAAAAACATACTTAACATATTAGCAAACACCTGGAATGCTTACTTGGTTGTGATCCAAGCTCAACACTATTTCACTTAAACATTTCAATGTCCAGTTTTTATACTTTGAATTTTTTAATTCTTATTTCAAATATGTTTAGACAGCAGTTCTTAATTTTTTTAAGCTGTGGAACCCTAAATGATTGACTTTCTTTTCGTGGGTCCATGAGATTTAATAAATATATATCTTAAGAACAGATAAATTAACAAGACTTTTAATTATTTTAAAAATATGCAATGATCTAAATTTTATTAATTATTTTTAAAATATTTGGTGAATGAATGAAAAATTAATTTTTTTATCATATTGTGTCATCAATATTAAGTCTTAAAAATGGATTTCACACCAGACAGTTGAATTTACAGGTCTGGAGTGGCATCTAGTCTGATCATCTTTGATATAAATACAGTCAAGCCCCGCTATAGTGAACACGGTTTATAGTGAACTCCCGGATATAGTGAACGAAATGTTCGGTCCCGTGCCTTGCTATACACGTATAATGTTATTTTTTGTGGATATAGTGAACTAAAAAAGTGAGGAAGTTGGATATAATGAACTTTTTTCTGTCCTCGACTGAATTTTTTCTTCATTTTTTAAAAATAATTTTGAAATGTCTACTTCAAAATAAGTACTTATACTGATTTTTAAGACCATCCATAAGAGTGGAACGTAGCGATAAGCATTTTTTCTTGTTTGCTTTTTTTATCTCACTTTCCCTTCCCTAAACTAAGGCCAACCCAGGCAGATGTATGGACAAATTTTTCCCTGCATTAGCTAAAGATCACTAACTTCTTTTGTACGCAAAACGAAGAGTAATAAAAGTAAAAGCAAGTTAACACGTTTTTTGTTACTAGGTATTATTCTTCAGTCATTTTTGTATTTCATTTTGTTGCTCATTTATTTAAATAATGTATAATAAAAAGGAGTTCGGAACCATTAGTTAAAATTGTTTGCGGAACGGATATAGTGAACTCCCGGTTATAGTGAACAGAAATTTCGGTCCCTTGAAGGTTCACTATAGCGGGGTTTGACTGTACTTACACAATGAGTTGAAATATGGTTTCCCTTAAAATAAAAAAATAAGCGTCATGAATGGTTATCATGTACAAAACATACTTCATTGTTACATTTCGCTATTTTTGTTCGTTGCCTAAAACTAATGGAATTTTTCATAAATGCATATCCTTTTCATAATTCATTCATTATATTATTATTAGAAAAATGTTTTGAAATTTCTTTTCTCACAAGAATTTCAATTACATAATTTCATAAAAATAAAGGAAATGTTAAATAAATAATGGAACATTAATTGGATATAAATATCCTAATAACAGTTTTGAAAAATAAGGGGTTAAAAAAAATTCCAAACTCTCAGAACCCTAGTGACCCTTCTACAGAACCCTAGGTTATGCGGAACACCAATTGGGAACCGCTATGTTAAAGGATTCAGCCTGATGCTAACTATAGCTACCTTTCATGTTTTAAGGGTCACAAATGAGAATCTGAAGGAAAAAAGTATGTTTATTAAAAAAATATATGTTCTTTTGTACTACATTTTGTAACTTAAAATATCATCTGTCCTAATTAATTGGCATATTTAATGTCTAAAACTTGAGAACCATTTAGATTAGCCTTTTAATAATAAGAATATTCCAAAAAAATATGCTTGATCAAAAATTAATCGAGGTGTTGATCTTTAAATACAATAATAAAATTCAAAATGTATCAGAAACTTGTAAGTGAAATAACAAATTAATTGGCTATTGTTAAATACTGATTACGATGTAGATTTCCAACTTATAAGTTGAAAAAATATTTTATATTTCTCTTTGTTTAATTATCTATCATTTTACTACTTTCATCTTGTTGTAAGAATTATCTGAGCGCATAATATAATATTATTATATTTTAATTTAATTATTATATTTTAAAGTATAAAATTGCTAATTTGGCGATATTTTTCGTATTAAAAGAAAAATGATAAAAATAAATCTTAATAAGCCCATACAATGCGGCGTTAGAGTGAGTAGTTGTTGTATAATATCAGAAAATGTGAATATATTGCTTTTCATTTTCACAAAAAAGAGGGTTTTTTTACATAGTGACATTTTGCTTCATAATAGGCATAGCAAGCACTGGCTAAAAGATAGGTTAAACTTACTTTAACAATGTTATCAACAAGTGCAAACTTAATTTATAAAACTGCTACAAGCTCAAAACAGTTACAAAAATAGAAAAATTATTAGTTTAAAAAGTGTTACTTAAAATTTGCAAAAAAAAAAAAAAAAGGCACTTCAAAAATAATTTATTAGAAAATAAAAGAATAAGATGAAAAGAAAAAGGCATCATAATGTATCAGAATAATTTTGTTTTTAAAAAAATGTAAATGCATCATACATAAAATATCCTGTAATTAATATCCAATTAGTGTTTAATTTTTTCTTAATTGGAATGCTACTTTATTTAAAATGAAATAAAAAGTTGTATTTTAAAACAAATTAAATGTTCCATCGTCGGGAATTGCAGAAACTATAACTTTAATAAAATAAATCACAAATCAAACGTTTTTTTTAAGCACTCCTTTGCTGACTTATACTACGCAACTACTATAGTAATTAAACGAAATCTGAGAACTAAGGAAAGTGATAGAAAACTCATTCTTTATTTTCATTTTTCAATGACGCATATAATCTTAAACTAAAGAAATACAGCAAAAAGAATTGTTAAAAAATTGTATCTAATTAGTAAAATTAGCATATTGCTGACGATTTGAATAATGAGATACAGTGTGTTTTTTAATTACTTAAGTACCATGCAAAAAAGGGGTTAATAATACAGTTGTAGCAGAAAAGAAAAATGATATTCGATTTCTAAAGACAACCTCTAAATGGATAATCGATATTTAAAGTTCCTATTACAAAATGAAAGTGCAATTTTACACATCATTAGCAAAAACTGCGCATACTTAATTTGAGGTGTTGATTGTGAATCATCATTTACTGAATTTTGAAATTTGTGTTCTCGGACATGTTTCTAGATCGCTCTTTTAAATAGCTAAAACACACACATAAGTAATCTCATTTTTAAATTAAAGCTCTTTTTTATTCTACTATGACGTTTAAAAATATTGTTACTTCCCATTTGAGAAACATAACTTTGATAGATGTTTTTAAATGATTAGGTGTTAATAATGTATCACTACGCATTGCGCCATCGGTGAGAAATATTAACATAATGAAAAATATTATACTATCAATATTCAACCCCATGGCTTTCTAATTTTGAACACAATCCAGATGATAAAGGTGCATGTAAATCAAGCGTTGGGACAAACTAGCTTTCGTGGATGATTTTTTGACTGAACTAACCCATATTTCTGATACAAAGAGAGGAAAACTTTGAAAACCACCCATGGTTAGCCCGACGAGAAGGGGATTCTAATACATAATCCGTCAACTACTGAGGATATTTCACTGTGGTCAGTGCAAGACTGGAGTGGGATTCGTACCAACTAACCACAGCTGGGGTTTGAACCCAGGTCACTTCATTGTGAGGCGAAGGTTCTATCCCCCGAGCCATTGCAGCTGCGTTTTCTTCAGGGTGCGTAGCCAAATTATTCAACAAAAAATAAGCACCTTTTAAGCACTTTTCAAGCACTAAAAAAATATTTTAAGCACTTAAAAAAATATAATAATTAGGCAGGGTTGGAAAGTTTTTGACAATTTACGGTTTTATCTTGTTTTAGTAATCATGTCAAAAAAAAAACATTATGGCATTGTTTTTGACAATTGTCAAAAATCATGAAATTTTGAATCATGTAAAACGAATGGCGTTTTCATACGCTACCGACTGACAATACGCCGAAATAGATTGAGGTTGAATTAATTGAGAAAACGTTAGATAGAACAATGTGAACTGCGGCTTTTTGCAATAATTCGTAGCAAAATCAACACGGTAAAGGAAAAATCTCATTTTGAAAAAGGGAAAAGTAAGCACTTTTTAAAAACACCCAATGAAAAAAAGCACATTTAAGGGCTTTTAAAAAACGAAAATAAGCACCTTTAAGCACTTTTTAAAAACGCTACTCACCCTGTTCTTAGATATCAATCAAAATCGTCAAAAAAATTTTAAAAGAGTGCTGAGAAAATAGTCCGTCATTATTGTTAAGAGCAAAATCTGAGATGGCCTCCCATCCCAAATTAAGGCGTTATATTTATTGAACATATGTACTAAGTTTTATGCGTTTATCAATAGAATCGCGATTAATCTATATATTTCACCAATCCGTCGTACTATAAGGGGAAACAAAGCAGAATTCATTAAAAAAATTGATACAGATGCATATTCATAAAAAAAGTGGGAACGTTAATTTTCGTAGTAACGAAAATTTTAAACACAATATAGTATAACAAAATAAAGATATGACAATCACAATAATTAGACAGTAGTTCCTTTACATCTAGTGCATGGCTTTACGGATAGTCTTTTAAATTAATAGTAAAACTAATAGCTAGAGCAAACATAACTAAGCAGGAATAATTACAGAGAAAAACACAACTGCTTTAAGCTTTCCAAATTAATAGAAGAAATTAATTTCCGCCCGGATACAACAGGCATCAATCGCAAACTTTTCCAATTCATTTTTTCCAAAAGAAAGCCAACTTAAAACTCGAAAAGTAAAATTACGTCTTCATCAGCAAAAACTGCTCTAACGGAAGACAAAATATCCATTTCAAATTCATTAAAAAGCAACCAACCCACACAGAATTTCTATTAACGGTAGAGCCTTAAAGGGCGGCTCATCTTTAAGCCCACTCCACACAGGAAATCATTATCGTTAACAAAGCATTGATCCTGCCACAATCTGGCCGACGTCCCATTTCAGGAAGGGATCCCGTTATGATATCATTATAGGGTGTTGTATTTATGGGCATTGCATTAATAGAGAGACAAAGAGTAATTACTTATAGAACATCGCGTGCCATGGATTTACAGAGGGATCATCTCAAACCCATATGGACGGAAGTTTCAGGTGGCCCCGATCTACTTCATCAATTGGACTTGAATCGCATATAAAATGATAGGTTTCTGATCTACCTGCCAATATTGTGGTTCGCCAATAGTGAAGCCATAGTGAATCATATCATGAAAGGAAATATGCGTTTTCCGTGGTCTTCAATTACAGTTATGTTGAGGCAGCTTGAGTTGAAACACGAATAACGTGCTCGGCTGTCATTTAGAAAGTTTGTGGTTATTAAACAAACTACTCAAGTAGAATTTATAACGGGAAACGGGGATCCGATGAAGTATTTAATGCTCTATTAGAATTAAGGCCATTTAAAATAAAGAAAATCGATAAATCGATCTTACGCATTTCAACAGCAAAATACAGAAAGCTCCCACAGTTTTCTTTTTTTAGTTTTTTTTTAGAGAAGTTCCACTGTTTCAACAAAATTAAATGAAGTCCTTATTTAAAGAGTAAGCAATTCCGCTGATCAGAAAATTGGAGTTCATCTCCTTTTTATACAACTTATTTCTAACTATTTTAATAGACGACAAAGGAAAGCCTTATGAGTGGTCAAACTCTACTAATAAAAGAAATGTCGTTAGTATTATTTTTAAGTAGTTTTTAATTTTTTTAAACTAGTACGCCATCAGACATTTTTCCTGCTGCCAAACAGAGGGCACCACAGTTCGTCGCTTTGAAACTAAACCGTAGTAACTTAAAAAAAATCAAAAATGAGGTATTTGGGCCAATTCGTGTAAAAAAAAATCACCCTTTTAGAGAAACAACGTGTTATCTTCATAAGTTCCGTGAAATTATTTAAAAAAGCAGATAAATCGTTATCGCATTGGCGCGATTCGCCTTCTTGAAAAGTTAGAAATCGCTCTCCTGAAACACTTGCTTTTTTGAGTTACCACGGTTTAGTTTCAAAGTGACGAGTTTTGTCAAACAAGATAGGAAAAACAATACACTTTTGACTTAAAAATCTATGATCTAGGGCTCTTTATTTCACTAATTTTTTTTCTTCAGATTTTTGGCAAAATTCCGCTTTTTTTCTTTCAATATTATAAAAGAAAAGTTCTACGTTGTCGAACTAACTTCCGCTTTTTCGAATTACGGGGAAAAAAAGTTTAAATTTTTTAGGCTACGCGCTTTTCCTACCTATATGAAAGTTATTTAAAATTACTCATCACAATTTGTATTCACGCGATTTAAAATTACACATCGTTAGATGGATTAACGTGGTTCAAAATTACCCATCGTAATTCGTATTCCCGCAACTAAAAATCACACATCGAGATTTGTATTCACACCAATTTAAAAACCAAACATTGAGATTCACCTTTAAACAATTAAAAAAAAAATCGCGCTTTATTTACACATCTCTGTCTGTATTCACGCGATTGAAAATCACACATCGCGATTTATATTCATGCGATTTAAAAATCACACATCATGATCTGTATGCACGCGATTTAAAATTAGACATTGCGATTCTTGATCACGCGATTTAAAAATCTCACATCACTATTTGTATTCCTGGAATTTAAAAATCACATACATATCGAGATTCGTATTCAAACAATTAAAAGAAAAAAATTTGGCATTAGATATTTTGTTATTAAAACGTTTATAATATTCTATATACACTTTTTTCCTAGCTCAAACTTCAGATATTTTTTCAATATTTTAAATGTGTTTTGCGCATAAAAATTTTTTGATTTCTAATTGAAGCTTTTTTGTGGGGAGGGGGGAATTTCAATGCTGCCGGCCCATTATTCAAATTAGAATTCAATCTTCCATTCCTCGTCAATCTTCAAATTTAATTTTTTTCACTAAAGTAGGCACTATGTATATTTAAGTATTACTAATTCATCTAGTGTTTAGTTCCAGCAAAAGCCGGAGGAACTAAACTACTAGTCAGACAGGAACTATTTATATTTCACGAAGGACTATCGTTATGATATAAATATGATGCTTTATAAATAGCATTGAATTAGACGAAAAACAAAGAGCAATTACTAATAGAACACAAAGTAATCACTAATAGATCCACAGAAGGTCATCTCAAACCATCGTGGATGGAAGTTCCAGGTTGACCCGATTTAGTACACGAATTAGACTCGTATAAATCAATAAGTGCTTGATCTAAATGCCAATATAGAATAAATATCGTGATCCGCTAATGAAGCCACTATGAGTCATAAGAGAAAGTGTGCGTTTTTCTTGACCTTTCAAAGTGCAAGTAGAACACAGATTGAGTATTCTGTGGTCAATTGGAAAGTCTATGGTTATTAACAACCTATTCTAGCTGAATTCCAACCCAGAGATTAGGATCCAATGAAGTTCTTTGGAATTAAGTTGCCCTATATAATTTAAAAAGAATCCATACACCGTGGCTTTGAATTCATTTCAATCAAGTTAAATTGGGTGCCACAAATTAAGCGATACTTTGATGTTAGTTAACTTTTTTTTGATGCATTCGATATTTTTGAACAAGCGTAAATTGAGTAAAGATAATGTTTATCTAATAATGTATAAAATCTAATTCTAGACCATAAGAAGCCATGCTTTTAATATTTTTGCTTGCCATGCTAATATGTACTAAAACATTACAGTAATTTCTAAAAGCATTTTCCATAAAACAAAATGTTGATATTCATGCAAATTACCAAGTTACAGAGAATATTCCACTTGCATGTTACGTAATTAGACTAGATATTTCACAAATTTAAACCCACTTTTCTGTAACAAGATTTTTATGACTGTATGACAATCAGATTTTTCATACTTAGAAATTTATCAACCTAATAAGCGATACATTAATAACGAATACACTCGAATTTAAGTGGCGATTTCATGGTATTTAACCTAGACTACTCAGTGTATCCGGATTAGAGCAACATGGGAGGAGGAAAAAACAGATTTAGTAGTTTTAAGGAAGAATACTGAAAGTCTATATATGTTCTGTGCAGCGCAGTTACTACGAAATAAACTTTGTTCTCTTAGTTTTCGAGGAACATACTTACGTAAATGTGCTAGATGTTACGTGAAAATGTTTAATGTCATTACAGTCAATTCCACTTTTTTGAGAGGGGAAGATTATGATAGCTGAAGAACTAATTCTATATTAGAAACATAAGCATAACATCTTTCCCCTTTTGAAAGCTGTTTTGTTTTGCACAGATCTATTTTATTATATTTAGGAGAGGGAAAATTAAATGTTTAAAAAAATCACTTAATGCGTTTTTTCCCAAAGCAACAAAAGTGTACAAATCTTACCTGTTGAGATGGTAATTGGGAATGAAGTAAGCACAGAAAATAAAAGCCACCAATCCCAGAGCACAAGTCGTAAACCAACATCTTCGAATCCTGTGAGTGAGGCAACATTTCTGAACCACACTAGAGCCAAGACGTTTCGCTTTACGGAAGATGACTTCCACGACCATGCCTCTTAAAAAAGGTCATGTATTGGTGACCTCCCCACAGTTACAGACGCACACGGCAAATGTCACCGTTTGTAAACATGGAACAGTTCGTCCTCAATAATGAACAACATTTAAAACACTATAAATACTATGAAATATTTCACGTCCTTTTAACGATCAAACAGTAAAACATTTTGTCTTCCATAAAATTCTGAGATCATGTATAAAAGCAAAACACTTATGGTTGTCCTAAGTTTTGTCTAATAAACTTTCTTTATTTTCTAAACACAAATAATGTTCACTGCAAGATGGTAGGAGGAAATATAGCAAGCCACAAATCTCCTCCATAGTCCAACTGCAGGGGGGCTCAAGAATTTAAAGTTGAACTTCTCGTGAAGTGCGTAACATCCTTCATAGCCATTTTAACCTGCAAAATAAAAGAAATATAATAATTACTGACTCATCAATAACAGTAATAATTAATAATATTGAAATTTGAGTGATGCCACCTGTAATCACCTCACTCTCAATCATTTTCAGAACACCAGTTAAAAATAAATTCGAGAATCTGCATTATATAAAGCGTTGTTAGGGTTAAACATGGTAAGATTTTGCAACCATTTAATTCCGTTTCACTTCTTTCTTTCGCTTAAGTTAGTGGGTTACCACGATGAAATCTCAAAAGTAAAATAATCATCGACTATTGAAACCAGAAATCCGATAAAAGCACCAGCCGGAAGGAAGAAGTTAACTGGTTGCCCAATGAACACAGAAACTTTGCATCCTTCTCCGCCCGGTTAACATTTTCCTTTCACTTCAAATCACCATTCTAGCAGGTTAGTAATTACTTTTATGCTTGCGTAATGTTGATCAAGTCAAGCCGAAGTAAGAATTTAACCGGACGGAAAGATATGTAGAATCTATTTATCCTCGCGTAACAAATAACAATCCGCATACTCACGTAAGTAAGCACTCCGCAGCGCAGTTACCACAAAGCTTACGCAGATCCTATGTACGGAATGCTACGTTAAAATACAAACCAGGGATTCAGGATTTTTAGTGCGTTTAAGGAAGAGATGAACCGAAAGTAAACAAATAGGTTGCCAGAATCTGAATCAGGTTCGCCATTTTTGGTGATTTTTCTCGGCATTTTTGCTTTGATTTTTTCTGACGTTTTTTTTTACAGAACTAAACATTGAACTGTTTTCGTTCCCCATCGTTGAGTCAGACAGAAGTAAACACAGTAAAAAGGTTGCAGAGAGACACAGTAAAAAGGTAACAAATAATCGCCGTCTGTTTAGCGCCAAGATAGGCACCTGCTTAACGCCGACATGCTTTTTTTTTCCTTTTTTTTTTTTTTTTTTTTTTAATTTACATAAAGTCTATCTTTATACCAAGTCTATGAACGGACTATAAATCCATTTATTCGGACGACACACATAAGTCCAATATTTCATTAGACGCGTAAAAAATATATTCATTTAGGCAGATTGATTAGGTATGCAGTTATCGCAATTAATTTTAATATGACTATCATTTCATGAAGAATTAAAACTTAACAGGTCAACATTAAAAATATAATTAAAATCATCTAATCCAGACTATTTGTAAAACGGTAAACATCCCAGAAAACCAGTAAAGCAGGACTTTTTTCTAATTTCAATACGTTTTTTCAGGTAATAGTTGCTCTATCAAATGCAACCACACTTTTTACAAACCCTTTTTTAGCATTGTTCCCAGACATATACTTCAAGATCTTCAGTAATTTCTACTAAATATCAGCATAATATACAAAAACATCATACTTAGAAATCCCACCTCTCTAAAAAACGCTCTTAGAAATCACTCTTAAACACTTTGAGAATGTGACTTGTTATATCACGCCCAAGCTCATCATACTTTAGTAAAATATTCAACTTATGAAATAATACTACTGTTTGTGAAAATTGCAACACCATGGATATATTGGATATCTGCAAATGACGACTCCATAGGTGGCATCTGTCGATTTAGAAGCAATCAGTTCCACACAGAGGCGTAACGTCGGTTACAAGTATCCAATTAAATCCGATTTATATCACATTGTTACACATAATCGTTGTACTTCTCGAGTTGCAAGTATCGAATTGTCAGAAATTAATGAAATGTATTCCTCGTTTTAGTGATAGAGGTACAAATAAACAAGCGAAATCATTTTGCAATTCTAATTATTTGCACGTCTCACCTTTCTTTACATTTCATATAAATTGGGGTCAATTTGCAATTTTCACTAAACATGAGTGAGTGTACCCTCAAGCCTATTTATTTAGAGAATTTTTAAAGAAAAACACAAATTCACTAAATTTGTTTGGAAAAAAAACAAAGTAATTGTGAAGAAAATAAAGACAGGCGACTGTAAAGATAACAAGTAGACAGTCGAACGTCATCAATTAAAATAAATTAGGAAAGTCACAAAAATATGAAGTCATATTTTTTCTACCATAAAACCAAAGGATGATGTGCAGAAACAGAAAGTCATTTCGGAAATATAATTACCCAACAAGTACCATTTTTCGATACATATAAGTCACACCTATAATTCCGATACGACATTAGATAAATGACTAGATAAGGGTTATCCACTTGGGAATCGTGTTTATTTTTGACAGATCTCCTTCAATGACAGATGGCCAAGCAATATCGAAAATAAAAGGTCGATTCACTAAAAGAGATCACCACTATCCAAGTTGTGGAAAGATGATGGGGGGAAAAGAAATGGAAAACAAACAGACTGTCTACATTTGGCAAGAATTCTCCTATCATTCGATAAGAGTGATTTATAACACCTCAAAAGAGAACAGAATTATTATTATGTTTTTCTATACAGTATTGCTTACAAATTTATTTACAACAAGCATCATGACTGTTGAAAAAGCGGAAGGAAGAAAAAGTTAATAAAAGAGGATATGAGTTGTTGTTTTGCATGCGAGAGTGATTACGGAGTAAAAAAAAAAAAATGTGGCATAAACAACGCCCCCGCAAAGCCGCACAGCAAAGGACACGTTGGTAAGATAAAAACTTTAAAAAACAATAGATTTAGGATTTTTAAGGAGGGGGAACTCACAGTGAAAAAAAAGGGGGCGTTAGCCATGGTTTAGCCCAGCCTCATTCATATTATTCGCCAATTTTTTGACAAACGAGTCTAGTTCAGATGCGATATAAAACTCAAGCAAATATTTATTATTGACTATTTGTATTTTAAGTTGCAGTTAAGCAATGAAAAAGTGTCTTCCCGCAATGGACTGAAGTGCCATAAATTATCCACCCATTGATGTTAGTGCATGCGCTACGATTTGGTCAGCGCAGATTTAGTACAGCTTAAGAAAATAAAGTTCTTAATATTAAATATAAATTAAAATTAGCAGAGCAAATTTCATACAAAGATACACTGAAATTGTATAAACAGATAGGTATGTAAGTATAGAGTACCAGCCACTTCTATACGTTACAATCTAAAGGTATTGCTTTCTGTAAATGCAAATGTATGGTATTCGCATTAAGATACATAAAAATACACAACTGAAGGCCTTGTTTGAATTGTAGGTCATCTCGACTTTTCAAAAAAAAAAAAAAAAAGTTAGCTCTATTCTCAAGTTTAAGCAAAGTAATTTCATTTCTATCTAATTTAAAAACAAGTACACCCCCACCAGATAATTTCCGATCTTTAATTCTCCATCAGATAATTTCCGATCTTTAATTCTGCATCAGATAATATCCGATCTTTAATTCTCAATCAGATAACAGAGAGCACCACAAATCGGAATAGAGTGCAAAAATCACTACAGATTTAAACCTCAAAAGATGGAGTTGCCCCATTATTTAAAAAAGTCTTTCATATATTACGATATTTTTGCACTGCGCATGAAAAATACACATGCAATCTTGAAAGAAAAAAAAACTATTCTACTTTTACGATTGAAGACTTTTTATTCTTTTAGAAACAGCATTTCGCCTATAAACTCGCTCGATAAAATATCATAAAATCCGACTACTTCTCGTAGAGAACGTGTCAGATTAGATATAAATATAACTTGATAATAAATAATACCTAATAAAATTTAATTTATTAAATCGAAATAAAATCGATAAAAATTGATCGATGATCGAATAAGAATTTAAAACAAAAAAGTTGTATGAGCATTTTTTATTTGTCGCAATCATTATTGAGAGAAACTTATTAGCAAACTCTTTTATACTGTTATTAAAATAATACTTAATCTTCAAAAAAAAAATATTGATATTTTTCAGAAAATTTAGGACAATACATCAAATATTTGGTGGTAGAGAGCCATGAAAAGCTCGATTTGAAATACAATACCTAAAATACGATAGGAAAAAAATGAAAATCGGAATAAAAATGACCCCCTTTTCAATACATACAATCCCAAATACCAATTTTGAATGACATCAATAACCACTCTATCTAATAACTACTCTATCCCCCCGCTATATCATTCCATTTTTAGGGTACATCTAACGCCCTTTTCCACAATAAAGGTGTTTTTAAAAATGATACGAAAAATATCTGAGTGGGTGGACACGCGTGGTCAACAGTAATATCTCTAATAGACCACCCGTCACATACGAATAAACTCTGGTCTAGCTAAGCTACATTTTTTTCTTCTTTACTTATGCTACTAAAAATCTACTCAGTATTTGAAGATGAAAAAAATGGCAAGGATTCTTTTAGAACGGAATACATCCTGGGCTTGAATAAATCCATCATCAATGAAGAGAATTATGTGGTCGTTCCTATGTTTTATTTGCTTTCAGTGAGCAACAATAGCGGAGGAACGATGGTTTGATGATTTCCGAGGTACCATAACGGATATTTTTCGTCATCCAACAACGAAAATTATGGAGCTAAAAATAGCTTTTGAATACATAGTGCATCTGGAACACAACTGCAAATTCTAAGACAACATTTGAAAAATGAACACTGAAAAAAGACAACTGTGAACTCAATATATATTTATTTACCTAAAACAACTATATTATTCATTTTTTTTTATTATTTTTTTTTTATAACCATCGTTAAACAGTCGACCCAATTTTTGGGTTTAAGACTTCTAATGTTCAACTCTGTAGCCTTGTAACATTGAACCCAATCTCCTAGATCAAGTATTAGGAGAAATTTGCCTTCGTGGAGGACTTTTTTATGGAACTAACCCGTACTTGTATTACATGGAGAGGAAGACCACGAGAACCTTCCACGGTTAGGCTGACGGCAAAGGAACTGTAACCCATGATCCGTCTTATCACTAAGGATATTTGTCAGCACTGTGGTCGGTGCAAGCCGGATGCGGATTCGTATCGACCAGCCATCGCCGGGATTTGAACCCGGTTCACCTCATCGGAAGGCGAATGCTCTATCCCCTGAGTCAGTGT